AGGATGGACTTCGTCGGTGTTAAGGCCGGTTTTTAAAGTAGCAAGTTGGGGTAAACTCACACTTCCAGACACGTTTCTTCCACCGGAGGTTTGCCTCCCAAAATCAGCAAAGGCTGGCGTGAAGTCTGGTCCTCGAGGCAGTATCCGAGGGTCCAGAGTTCTCAGCGGCAGTTTCGGCTGATTGACCTGCGTGATGGAGCAGAACAAACAGAGGAGCCGTTTAGCGGGTGCTGCAGCCGCCCGAGGTCACGCGGGTCTACAGACAACCCCGACGGCCGTATCTGACATCCAAACGATCACTTGTAACATGCTGGGCAGGTTTTAGGCATCTGTGCTTACACCGAAAATACGCATTTAATTTGAAACGCCTCTTCTGCAGGTGCCTACCGAGGAAACAGGTGGAGTTTAGGAACGTTTCAAGGCTGAGCGTGACTTATGGAGGATGAAATAACGGTGACACGGGCCCATCTCCCGCAGAACGAACGTGACGGTTCGGGTTCAGGATCACAAAACTGCCGCCTTCCCTCGAACAAATGTCTTTGTGCTAACAAGACGGATGGCTGAGCGAGCTAAGGCAGCTCAGAAGCAGTCAGGGGCAGCGGGAAGCAAGTACGGGTAAACTAGCAGGTGGATGAAATCGTTTTGGGAACAAAGCTGCGTTTTACGATTTGTCTGGGTGTGAAATTCAGGGTGGAAATGCTTCTGCACCTGAGGATCACCCGTACCCTGAGCTGTGCTCCAATCGTAAGAGCGCGTCTGCAGCGGTTACATCAAAATCAATGAAGTGCACGGTTCTAACGGAGATGGGGATAAGGTCTCCGTGTCAGCACTTCAGAAATAACCGGTATTTCAATGAGCGCAGCTGAGAACATCACATCTCTAATAAGGCTGCATAGAAATCACTAAACTTCTTCAGAGTCAAGGTTTTAAAGATCTTTTATTAGATCAGCTCATTAACAGTGACACAACTGTCTCAGATCAAAAAAAAAAAAAAAAAAAAGTTTGCCCAAAAGCTTCCCTGAGCTTTCTAACCAGAGAACTGATCTAATAAAAGACGCTGCTGCTCTGTTCAGACTTGCTTTACTTATATCCTGAGGTCTACATGACTACATCACTTTAAATTTTAATAAGAAACCAGCATAACTTAATCCAGACAGAAGCCGTTAAAAACGCTCCCATTTTTAAATCATTTGTGCGCATCCATTAGGCACCAACACCTCTGTCTGAACCATTCTGTGATGTGACATCGGGCCAAATATTTCCCCGTCCCGACAAAAGCCTGCAGCGAAACGGCGCGGGAACAAAGCCCGCGTTAGGGATCTTCATTTACAACTATCCATATTAAAAAAAATAATTAATAAATCCAACTGCACGCACCTGTTTTATCGGCTCTCCTCTCACCTTGTCGAGAACCACATCGCTTATGGGAGGCAGCCCTTCGGGTTTTTGGATGCAGGCAGGCATGAAAAAAAAAATTCCCTGTCGTACTGCCTCTTGCCCTCCGGGTCCAGGGGCTTCCACTGCTCTATAAGGAGAGAAGGTGCCTGAGATTCGTAGGGAACACAAACCTCTGCTCTCCGAGACGTGTTTCTGGTAAATCCAAAGGGAAGAGATGGTTCCAGCTGCCTGGGAAGTTTGAATTTCACTTTATACGAACGTGGAAGGCAGCGAGGGGAGGATCACACAGTGCATTAAAGGAACATAAAACAGAGGGGAGAGTCTGGGCAGCCCCGGCAGCGAGCGCCCGCGGAACTCATCGCTAATTCCACTTTGAGGCCACGTCAGGTCATTTCGACTCCTGACTTTCACTCGCCTTTGTGGTACGTTGAACCGGGGACGATTCCCAGTTTCTGGGTGAAAATACAAAAGGCAAAGCAGCTGGTTTCGTGTCAAAGGGAGCGAGAAACGCAGAGCTGAGGAGAGCAAAAACACCCTTGGAAAACAGCAACGCTCCAAGTCTTTAACAACCTGTGCTGGAGATAGCAGCGGGAACCACAAGAAAACACAAACTCCCAACTTTTCACCCATTTTTTCAGAGAGCTTTCCAGGCAGGAGCACCGCTGCGGGGAAGACTTTGTCCTACGCAAACCGAAACATAAACCTACGGTCGCTTCAGTGCAAGGAAAACCAGCAGCCGGTAGCCCCGAGCCAGGGCTCCCTTTGCTGGCTGCACCGTTTGTCTCAAGTTAGGAAAGCGACCGCGGACTCGCTCGGCTGCCAGGCGGACCAGTCAGGCTCCTACGCGGGCAGCGTGGGTTTTGTTTGAAGGAAAATATCTGTACGAGACGCTGCCTTTGTATTTCACCGATGCCAGACGGCGTCGCTTTGCATTTAGCCAGCCCTTCAGGTCTGCTCTTAAGGTATTCTATTATTTCTTTATTTCAGTTCCCCACCACCAGCTTTATGTCTCCGCGTTCTACCCATCCTCATCCCTGCGGAGGCCCCGAACAGGAACTTATTTCAACAATGGATTTTACTAACTGGGGATGAAAACACACAAGAGTAATTACAATTTTTAGCTCTTGATGCAGCTTTGTTTCTCCAGAGCTTTGGGATAACGGGGTGCAGAAAAGGGTTTGGCCGGCTACCTGCTTCCCAGCCAGAATTCCCAGCCAGCTGCTTACCCGCCGTGCCACGCCGCTCTCCATTTATCATGGAACACCACCGACAGCAACAAGAAACAGTTTATATGTACAGTTCCCTTGTCTTGGAAAGATCTTAACAAGCTGTTTTAACACAGAAAGCGGCTGGGCAGCATCACAGGCAGGATCCCCAACAAGGGGCGAGAGAAGGCTCAAACACACGATTCCTCCTGTGGTCGGCTAAAAGGCAAAAATCTCCCTTTTTCAGAAAGCAGAGCTGAAATCGAGGATTCCTGCAGGAAGCACTGCAGCAGCAAGTCCGCTGTGCGCTGCTTTCCCAGGGATTGATCCAACCCCTCCAGCCAAGCGAAAGGACGCCCAGAGCCGACTGCGGCGAGTGGTTTGGAGAGACAGGCGATGAATTATGGATTACCTTCAAGATGTGCTTAACCAAGCTAGCCTAAGCGTGTGGTGAACCATCAGGAGGACTCGTTTACTCCTAACGAGCCGACAGCACCAAATGAATAAAAGAAAAGCAACTCAGGTCTTTGTGAGAACAAAGCAGCAACGAAATAAGCAACTGCAGTGTAATCACGTCAAGGTGGTGCTCTGCCTCCATACCTTGTCCAGGCTCTCAGGGTCCTTCCTTATTTTGTTTTATACTCTTTAATTTCTGAGCTCTTAAGAAAATTACCGCTTTATTTTAAGGGAGCTTCACCTGAATAAGAAACAGCTTAAAAATTGGTAACACTGAGAACTAAGTTGGTCTCAAGGTCACTCTTAATGAGGTGACTTAACAGAGGTTCAAGTCCACCAATTAAATATCTTAACGAAGAACAAACCCAGCCCTTAGGTAGGCTTTATCCAGTGCTAACCAACAACAAAAGGGCTGTATCCTGTGAGCCCACACTTGAATTATTTTTTTCAAAGAACCTCATGCTCGCAGTTCAACAGCAGAGCCTGAGCTGAAAACCAACAAGCGTTGCTTTTCTTTTCCTTGCTCCTCTAGAAAATTGAAGATCCATGCAACTGTTTAGAACCAGGAAATTAAATCCATATAAACACACATAGTAAAGAAAAAATAAACCCTAGTGAGCGGGCACAAGTCTGAAACAGGAATTACCTGGTTTATACTGGTACGCCGGCCCTTCGCTGGAGCTCTCAGCAAAGCCTGAATTCGCATCGGTTCCCTCTCCCTCCGAAACGCTCTCGGCGCCGTTCCGCACGGGTTCCGCTTCCTGCTCTCCGTTCTCTTCCACGGCTTTTGTCTTTTTAAGCTCAGAGGGATCTCTCTCCGCTTGGATCCCGTGGCTCATCTTCTCCTGCTCAGATTCAAGTACTTTGTCACCTGGAAGTTCCTCTTCTGCTTTAGGCTGCAGCACAGATGGAAGCACAGGGGTTACGCTGGAAATCCACCCTGCCGAAACCCCAAGCACACAGAACCGCTCCTCGCCCAGCGTTTTTCGCAGGAACACACACGCATCCCAACCAGCGATACGGAACGACACGCGAGGCAACCAGACAACTGACCAGTTCATTCCCACAGATAACCCACCACCTCTTAACGGGGCAACTGGGAAGTCTTGGCATTGCCCATGGAATCCGCAGGAGCTACTGGGATGGGCGGGAGGAACCGCTAAGGTGAGTAATCCCAGCCCAGAAAGACAACGGCGCTTTTCTCCTCTCCGGCAGCTCCCCAGCCTCCTTAAACCGAATCCCTCCATTCCATGTACGCTGCTAACGGAGCAGAGCCCCATAATAAAGATAACGTGACACACAGCCACGATTTCAGCAAAAAGCATTAACAGTATCCCTGGCTGTTAATTTTAGAGGTCCCCAAGGACGTTCTGGGTTTGGAGGAGGCGTTTGGAAAACATTTCTCCCAGCGGCAGCTCCCCAGCCTCCTTAAACCGAATCCCTCCATTCCATGTACGCTGCTAACGGAGCAGAGCCCCATAATAAAGATAACGTGACACACAGCCACGATTTCAGCAAAAAGCATTAACAGTATCCCTGGCTGTTAATTTTAGAGGTCCCCAAGGACGTTCTGGGTTTGGAGGAGGCGTTTGGAAAACATTTCTCCCAGGAGAAACCCCAACGTGTCGCAGCATCCAACAACGGGAAAACCTCACAGGGGATGTGCCGCAAGAGGTTCTCAATCCGTTCGCCTCCCTGCCGCCCCCTAAAATGATTTTTGAGGATCTTTCAAGGGAACACTCTGAAAAATTAGCACTGGTGAAAATGCTGAGTGATCCAGAAGACAAGACCCCTCTAATAAATGAAGAAGAAAATGCACAGAGCATAAACTTGCTGGCGCAGTCCCAGCAATGTTCTCCGCTCGCTGGCTTGCCAGCCAGCCCAGGGATGCTTTTCATTCCCTCAGATTACCCCATCAGCAGCTTTTCTGCTGCGGGCAGACGAGCGCCACACCTCACACATGAGCATTCTGAGCATCGATTTCCCCACAAACGGAGGGGAAGGCGCTTCGGTACCATCTGTAACACACTACGGAGCCTGCCTGCTCGTTGGAGGGAGAAACCGCGAGCGCCTGCTTATACAGAGGATGCTGGAGCATCCACCAGCCTCAAGATCTGCCCTTCCACGGCCTGTTTTTAGAGCGGGAAGGTTCAACGCTGTCTGTGGTAAGGGAAAGTTGTGGAGGAAAGGGCAGAGGAATATTTCAAGAAAAAGCTGTGAGGAAGCAATGCTGCTCTGCGTCCTGTCTGGCTGACGTCAGTTTTCATGCACGCGCAGGGCAGGCTGAATTCTCACATTTTTAGTCTCTTACCCCTCTCAACGATGTGTTCTAACTCCAGTTTCCCCCAGGAGCTTAAACAAAGAGATTCCTCCCGCGATAGCCCTACTGGAATGGCAGTGAGGGGGATTTTCCTTACTTGTCTAATTAACTTTGAGGCGGTTTTACCCCAAACCTGCAACACCTTCCTGTCTCAGCTTCTCCCGTCAGGTCATCAGAAAAACTAACTTTCGCCCGTGACATCACAGTCATAGAATCCTAGAATCCCAGAATCCTAGAATCCTAGAATGGCCCAGGCTGGAAGGGACCTTAGAGATCATCTAGTCCAACCTCCCTGTTGTGGGCAGAGACACCACCTCTCGACTAGACCTGGCAACACAGGGGGACCGAGCGGGCAGCAGAACCTGCTGAATGTTCTCTGGCGGCCCGGGAGCCGAATTGGGCCGTGCTAAGGGATTTCAACTCGATTTACCTCGTCCTTCGCTGGAAGGACAGCAGTTCCATGCTCCTGAATGGTGAGAGTGGTTAAATCAGGCAAGAAGGAAGAAAACCGAAGAGCTTCAGCAGGGTCCAGACTAAAATTCTGGGAGGTATCAGTCCCCCCCATAAAAAAAGGCCACCATGGACTCTCATGAGACAGCCAGGAAGCAACGTGGCTAGAACACAGTTTAAAGAGACCAACATCATCATTTCATCTGAATAAAGCAAGCCAGCGGTTCCCCCTTACCTCTGCTTCCACCTCTATCGCCTCCTCGGTGGCTTGGGTCCGGTCTTTTGGTTTCTTCCACGTCTTTGGTGCAGGTACAGCTGTTGGGGCTGCAACAGAAGGGTACACCCGTTAAAACACAAAATCCCACGGAGCGAATCTGGCCGCGGGCGATGGCGCTTCCCTCTGGTGTGTTGGTTTGACGAGAGCGAAGCAGTCGCAGCCTCGCAGAGGGCTCGGCTGGAGAGAAACCCTTTTTCTTTCCGTACCGGTACTAACGCAGTCATTGCTGTGACGTTAAAACGCGGTAATTGTTTAACAAGTTGCCCACTCAAGCTCCGAACGGCACCTGCGGCAGCAAGGAGTTTAGTACCAGCAGCGGAAGGATCACACAGAGCTAAAAACCCCCAGTCTTCAGGAATGGAACTTTTTGGAAAACCGAGTACTGGCTAGGAGCCAGGTCTGTTTTCCTGTCCCCCCAAATTAAGCATTTTAGGTGCACACTAGGAACAGAATTCATTCTCAAACAGAAGTTCATTTTTGCCAGCGTTTGCACATTTCCAGAGCTTGTTCTCAGCCCGCCCCAAGGCGTGAGGGGGCTGCTTTCTGCTGGAGAAGGGACATCGGCAGGCCCCCCATCCCGCGGC